CTATTTCTAATAGTAATAATAGCAATTATTTAAATTAGATATTTATAGAAAATAGGAAATATAGTGTCATATCTGATAACTTTTAGAGAAACATGGATACAAATAGGTTATCTCATGTGTTTAGCAATTTTATATGTTGTTGTTTTCCTGTATGATGTTGTGTATCAACAGATATGTCTTAATTTGAAAATAGTTAATAATATTGATCTTTGTATAGAGATATGCCAAATTCCTACAATTATTCGAAAAAATACCAAAAATCGAAATGGTGAGTAGTAGTTGCGAAAACTATAGTAGTAAAAAAGAGTAGAGTACTTGACCCAGTTCAAGTACTGTAGTAGGTGTTTCTTCTTCCTTTTCTTCAACTTTCAACTTTTATTGTTTTAGAATAAATAATATATTTCTTCAAAAAACTTCGATAGATACTCCTTGCTAAAGCCAAGTCTTATACAATATGTTGCTTGTATCTATACACTAGCACCAAACTAGTCAAGATATACCTTGTACTGTTTTCTCTATTGAGATTACTGTGTATTTTTTAAAAATATTGACTATGTTATTGTTTTTTAAATAATAAAAGTTTGCTCTACATATGGTTCAAGTGATCATCAGAAAGAGTTAAATTATTTTGATTTCATATCATAATAGCAATATAGATTATGTACTAATCAGCTATCTTTTATTAGTTAGCCTTCAAATTTTAGAGTATATGTAATTATACTATTGTTTTACATATATAAAGGTATTTTAAGATCTATTTTGCTAATCTAGCCTGTTTTTTTCTGATTAGCTATTTGCACTATGAAAAAATATCTCTGTGTGAAATATAATAAAAAATCTTTCACAAACAAATAATAACAATAATGATGATACTCCTCTCACGTTAAATAATATTCAGGAAACCTCAAATAATATGAACAATACAAGTATTGCAAATAACAATATCGAACATGCTCAGGGATACAACTCAGATAATAATTCCTATGTACTTTTTATTAACAATGACATAGAGAAGTCATTCAATGAAGACATCTATAATTATTGGATATCTACAGGTATTATAGCAGAACTCACCACTAATATATATAAAGGAAATTTTCTGTTACAATATAAATATCAAACATTGTTACAATTATATTCATGAATTAAGAATATTAAGTTCAACTCACTTCTTATGAATAAACAAATTACCAGTCATATGTTAAAAAAGTATGTAACATAGACAAAGTATTATCAAAACTTGCATATAAATTCTTATTATCACTATACCTATTGGATTTGGTGATTAAACAGATATATAAAACTAAACCACCAGATAAGGATCAAGATAGCTTTGCTTCATAGAAATATTTGGAAGAAGCCTTGCTATTTACTAGATTACTTATCTTAGATACTTTATCAGCACTTAATGCTTCACAAAGAGATAAAGCACTTAAATTATTTATATCTAGTCATCAACTAGCTCCTAAAACAGACTTTGTTTTTGGAGGAGAATTACAAGAAATTATAAAAAAAGGGAATAGAGAAGCAAAATTTTTTAATGATACTCTCTATCAATGAAGACAACAAGAGAATCTTGAATATAAACCTACAAAACCTTTCAACAGCTTTCAAGAAACAAGATATAATAAATTTTAGACACTATGTTATAAAAGTTTTTCTGGTTATAGACAGAGAAATAGGTACAAAAGTGGTTCACAAATGGATCACCTGAATTAGCAGCAAACAAATTAAATACAATGAATACAATTGGAGAAAGATTGAAAGAAACTCTTTATATATAGCAATATTATTTTTCACAATATTAGACTACAGCAATAATTAAAAAAGGTTACTATTCTATCTGAAAATGTATACTACTATTACAAATTTATACTCCTTCTCAATTATAATAAAGTATAGAAATATAGCAGGAAATTGTACGTTTAATAGATCAAAAAATTATAAAAGAATTCTCTATATACAAACCTTGTTTTATCTTAAATATTTTTTGATACCCAAAAAAATAGGAACATACAAACTAGTGATTGACCTACAAAAGTTAAATACATATGTTCAATATCTCTACTTCAAAATAGAAGGATTAGATCTTGTAAAATCACTTCTGTGCTTAAGAGACTATATGATATCTATAGATATCAAAGAAGCATTTTATTATGTACTTTTATATTCAGAAGCCCAAAAGTTTTTTATATTCAAATACAACAACAACTATACTGCTTTACATATCTACCTTTTAAACTTTCAACTAGTCTATGAATATTCACAAAGATTCTTCAACCAGTTATAGAAATAGCAAAATGGATGAACATAAAATTAATAGCATACTTAGACAATATTCTTATTATAGCCAACTCTCATAAACAGATAATAGCAAACAAGGAAAAACTTTTATACCTATTATACAGATTGGGATTTAATATAAATATTGAAAAATCATTGCTAAAACTAGTTCAGTTAATAGAGTTCTTAGGATTCATCATAAACTCAAACAAGATAACACTTCAATACCTAATTACAAGGTAAAAGAGTTAATTTATGAATGCTTAGTGATGTACAAGAAGGAAAGTATTTATATACAAAAATTAACATCATTAATAGGAAAGCTTATAGTAGTCACAAATGCTTTTCTACCTGCTCAACTACTATCTCACGTATTATTACATAACAAAAACAGACAATTAAAACTACAAGAGTAAGATTCAATAGTCTATCTATCAAGCAAGAGCAAACAACAACTACAGCAGTGAATAGATCAACTTACATATCAAAAAGAAAGAAAAATTATAGTAGAATTACCAAAGATGACTATACAAACAGATGCATCACCTTGGGGTTAGAGAGCTATAATGAACAATTAGATAATTTCAAGGAAATAGTCAGCACAAGAAAGTGAATATCATATTTCTTAAATTGTAACACAGGCAAATTTGTTTGCGTCTACTTTTAATTTTTGTAATTTTTAAAATAAAACTTTAAATATTAATTTT